TATTCCTGATCATTCTTTTTTTTCTTCTTTAATATTTAGTTGTAGATGGACAGAATACCTTTATTTTATTTATTTATGTGGTGATGAGGATCAAACCCAGTGCCCCACACATGCAAGGCAAGTGCTCTACCTCTGAGTCACAACCTCAGCCCCCCTGCTCATTCTTGAGGCTCCAAGGACACCTTGTTAGTGTGCCTCACAGAGGAATTCTACCTCTTTCTTACTGTGTGACCTTGGACAAAGTATCTCTGCTTCACCTTTCTAAGCCTCACACCTCAGTGACATAACCTATGTGATTAGCACAAAGGAAATGATTAACAAATCATTGCTGCTGCTGTTATTATCCCATACAATAATCTCCATCATTTCACCTAGTACAATAGCAATTAAAACATTTATTTGTTGAAAAAATAGAAACACTCTCTTGGATCCCACCTTAATGCCTAATATTTTTCATGCGATTTCCCCCACATATGCCATTTTTAAAGGGAAGATGAGATGAATGTTTATGGAGCATCTATTACCTCAATTAATTCTCACTACCACCTTCAGAGATGCGGTTTAGCAGACGAAGAAACTAAGGCAATGTTAAATTCAGAGATGTGGTTTAGCAGACGAAGAAACTAAGGCAATGTTAAATTCAGAGATGTGGTTTAGAAGATGAAGAAACTAAGGCAAAGTTAAATAACTAGTCAAGATCAAAGGTAGAACAAGGATTCCATTCCAACTTGGCCTGAGGCCACAGCCTGGGATGGATGGATGATACCAAAGGCTTCCAAAACACATGAACCTCATCATCTAAGAGCAGTGGGCCTCAATGAAGACATATCTTCATATTCATGTCCATTCAAATGACTCCCAGATATCAACTCTTCAGATCCTTAAACACGCTGGTATTCCCAGCACCCTTAGGAACCCCTTCAGTAGAACACTCCTCTCCCTAACTATGAGAAGATTCCTTACTTTCTTTCCATTGGATACTGAGCTCTTAAGAGGAAGAATATTTTTCACCTCTTTTACCCCTAGCAAATAGAATGCACCCAATACTTGTTTGTTGAATGAATTAAATTAAATTGTTAGAGAATATATTATGACTGCAAAGTTGAGGAGTAAATTTTCACAACAATATTAAAATTTGGCATAGTTAGGAAGAAACTTGATAAAAATGGTGAGAAAAGGAGGGTTTAATCTTAAACACTTTTACAACTGATAATGATTTCTATATCTAGCACCAGAGATTCCACATGATTTACAAATGTGTACTTCATAGCTCTAGGGCCCTGCCCCAATACCAATACTCTGCTATACCTGGTGTTTGCATCTGAGACACTTCACAATAGGATGGCCTTGACAAGTACCAATCTCTCAATGGTTACTCTCAAATGATTGGGGAAAAGAAACAGCAATTGACAAAGCAAATAAAATCAACTGCTGATAACGGGTGACCTTGGGTAAAGGGAATACAGTAAGTTTTTTGTACCAATCTTGCAACATTTTTGTAATTATAATGTTTTATCAAAAATTGTTTTTAAAATCTAAAAAAGGATAATATTAATAAATTTCCCAGGAAATTCCAGCACACAAGGTCCAGTGTATTGGCCATGCTGGTACCATATTCTCTTATTAACTGTTTCAAAAACACATTCCAGTCTCATGTCTATCAGGCAGTATCAAGAGAAAGGAGCTCCTTGAGTAGCAGGGCATAACCATGACTTCTGGGTTGGAACAGAAATTAAATTATTGCTACTTTCAAGTATTTATGAACTCACAGGTGTTTCCTATTGGTCAAAACCCCAGTACAATTTCCCCATACCAGGCCAATTATTTTCTTTAAGGCATACTAGAACCCCCCAGGACCCTCAGGGGCCTGTCATCATCCTCAGAGGGACAGCCCTCTGAGTTCTTACCTTCCTTTTCCCAAGCCTAGCTAAGGGATCAGGCATGTTTTTTCCCAGGACCCTTCTTTCTTGCCCAACATAAGCACAGAGACAGTGGCAAGAGCTTTGTTGTTACTGTCTATGGAAACACCTATAGGGAGGAAGCAAAAATAACCATGGGGAATTCACAAAGATTGTAGAAAACAGAAAACTCAAAGCAGTATTACTAGCTCTGTAATGACCACTTGACAGCAACATCTAATTCAAAACTTCTAACCACTCATGCCAGATCCTTCCCAACCTACAAACCAGAATGCTTTAGCTTTCTCAGATACTGTAACTGGAACAACAGAAACTTGTGAGCCATTCCTGTGTCCCAGTTTCAGGAGAGTTCCAGAGCTGGGGATGAAGCTCAATAGTAGAGTGCTTGCCTAGCATGCACTGGGCCCAGAGTTCAGTTCTCAGCACCAGAAGAAGAAAAGAAATTGCCAGGACAGTGTCAGATATGGATCACCAAACACCCACCTCTCACCTACAAAATAATGTAAATAAAGTTCATAGCAAATTATTCCCAATGAGAGGTTTTCTTTTTTTCTTCTTCATTACTTTGCAGTGCTAGAGATCAAACCCAAGGCCTTGTATACACTAGGCAAGTGCTCTATCGCTGAGACACATCTTCAGCCCAAGATTTTCTCAAATGTAAGTTAGCATGTGACTTCTATTTTTCTTAGCTCCTGTGTTGTACAAGCTCCATGAGAAGGTAGATACATTATGCACCATGGTAATGTTCAATCTCATTTTTAAAAATATTTATTTTTTAGCTGTAGTTGGACACAATACCTTTATTTTGTTTATTTATTTTTATGTGGTGCTGAGGATTGAACCCAGGGCCTCACATGCTAAGTGAGCGTTCTACCACTGAGCCACAACCCAAGCCCCCTCAACGTCATTTTTACTCTGATTCTCTGCACCCCTGATCAAGGCTTGTTAAAGAGAGCATATCTTCAAAAACACCTGATGCATGATGCTTCCTGACTCTTCCCGCAACTCTTTCCCCCAACAAGATGCTTGCTTAGTTCCAGGGAAGTAATAAAGAAGAGATGGCTTTATGTAGTTTAGAAGAGAAATGGGTTGTTAAAAATTGGTGGAACACAAGAAAGAAAAGATAAACCTTATTAAAGAGCTGGGTATATAATGTCTGTAATCCCAGGGGGTTAGGAGGATGAAGCAGGAAGGATCACAACTTCAAAGCCAACCTCAGCAACTTAGTGAGACTGTCTCAAAATAAAAAGGATCTCACTAAGTTGCTGAGGGCCTTGCTAAGTTGCTAAGGCTGGCCTGGAACTCGTGATCCTCCCATTTCAGCCTCCTGAGTCGCTGGGGTTACAAGGTGTGCCACCACTCCAGAACAAAATTCACTTTAAATGAAAGAGAAAATGGTATGTTATGGAGGTAGAATACTCCTAGGCAAAATAAGAAAAATCTATTTTCAATCACACGATGCTATAAAAGCACAAGAACTATCCTGCTAGAAGGTTAGGAAGGCTGGAACCCGCATTCCCAGTTATCTCCAGATATGAAAATATTAAACTAAAAATGCGCTTTGTTCAGCCGACTCTGTTCTCATCTGCCCCCCATCCCCCAACCCCCAGGCGGATGAGAAGTGGCTGCAGGGAAGGTATTTAAGAGGTGAACTACTCTGGGAAAGTTGATTCTGGTTTGCTTAAACTGAACGACAATGTTGTGCAACCAGTTTTTCCCTAAATTTTTCCCCCCTGCTTTAGAGAGAAGCAGTTATCTTTATCAGACTGAATACAGGGAATGAGGTCGCCTTCCCCTCCAGGCCATTGGAATCACTGTCAACACGGTTTTGATTTTTTATACAATCAGACCGTGAAGGGGAGGGGGGAGCGGGGATCTCATTCTCAGCTTTACAGATGTACGCATCTAACAGGAGTAGGGGGGAAAAATTAAAGTCCTCGAGCACATCTGAGGCCACCGATTTCCTGGCAACTCAGAAAGCCAAAGGAGCGGCCAAACAAGTTTCTTGACAAATACCTAGGAGCTACATTCGTCCCAGACCTGCACAGCGATATAAACTTTTAAACATGCCTCCACATACCATCACTTACATTCACTCACTAGAGATCCCGCCCCCCTTTCCTTCTCAAATATTAAACACAGGTTGCCCTGTGCAATTTAAAGCCAGACTTAACTGGAAGCAACGGCTCTGTTCTAAAAAGTGGGAGAAAAAGATTGCAGGAGAAAGAAAAGAATAGAACTCTGGTCCCTACAGAAGAGGGGATAAAACGAACTCGAGAACTGGGCAAAAAAGTTAACAACTCTGCCTTACCCGGCGGTGGGAAAATTTCCCCGTAACTTGCAAAGCCCTTACAATTGATTTTCCCACCCCCGGGACCGCTGAGCGCTCGGCAGCTGCGGAGTCGCAGCGTCCGAACAATGACTGAAGAAGGGAAAGTTCGCCGGCCAGGGAGCCCACGCTCCCGCTCGGTTGGCACCCAGACTCCCTGAGGTGCCTGGCCGCTCCCCGCACCTCAATCCTTCCCTCTCCATGCACTCAGTTCTTCCCGCCCCCCGGTGCTGAAACGGCCGGGACGCGCCCTCGCTCTCCAGAGCATCCGACCCTGGGCGGCCGACAGAGCAAGCCCTCCCGCCACGAGTCTGCCCCCTTGAGCCCCGATACCATGCAGAGGACAGGGTGGGAGGGGACGCCAAGAGAGGGCACCGGAGGGAACAGCCGCAACAGTTATGGCGCTCAATTCTTTCCCGGTGTAGCCGGGAGCTATACCGAGCTCGCGTGTCCGCCCCCGCCCCCAGCCTGGGCCACCAGGCATTGCCCTGACCAGTAAAGAGGCCACCAGGCACTTTACCTCAGCCCACACACGTTCTTGGCCCGAAAGCTCTGAGGACGCCAGAGGCGACCGCTATGTAAAGCCAGAGCGATCTAAAGCTCAGCGAGGCCGTGCCGGGACACGGAGAGCAGGGACACTGCGCTCCGCGCCGCCCGCTTCCCACTCCGCGAGGCCGCCACTCCCGCTGCCTACCCGGCGCGACGTCGCGCCCCCAACCTCGCTTGCGCCGCGTCTGGCCTGTGGCGCCTACCTTCACGCAGCTAAATCGCGGATCCTTCCCGGCTCCACACGGGGGCCCCCTGCAATGTGCTGGGCTAGTCGGGCAGGGGTGGTAACCGCCCCCCTGACCGCCTGCTTTCTTCTTTTCCCTCCCTCGCACCTGCCCCCTAATCCCCTCCTCACCCCCGCCCTCCCGCCCCGGCCGCCTGATCCGCCAGGGCCGCCCCCCTCTCCTCAGCTCGTGCCCTCGGCCCTCGCCCCTCGCCCGCCTGGCCCGTCAGGCCTCAGCCCTGGGCAGGCGGTTGGGCGGCGGCGGCAGCGGCGGCGGCGGCTGAGGCGGCGCGGAGCACTATTGTATTCCTGACACTGTGCGCTCCCACGCTCCGCCTCTTCCCTTTCCTTCCTCCCCCAACCACTCCCCGCCTGCCTCACCGCCGGCCGCACTCGCAGTACCCGACTGGCTCCCCGCCGTCTGCCCGCCGCGCGCTCTTCTGGCGGGCTGGGCGCCGTCTCCAAGCCACCGGCTTCGACGCTCCGCCCACTTAGAGCTCCCGCACCCGCGACGCTTTTCTCCAGGTGGGTTCCCCTCCCCTCCTGCTGGGCGCGCTGCCGCCCCTAGGAACCCTTGCCCCATGAGGCGCTAGAGAGGACCAGGTGGAGGCGTCTTGGCTGTGTCGAAATACAAACCAAGCTTTTCGTGGCCCCTTCCAACTCTAAAGTTCTATAAGTGGAACTCTTTATATATGAACTTGGCGACCACTATTGATTTACATCGTTTATGCCTGAAGAACCTATAATAATAAAGCCAAGGTGGCTGTTAACAATACTTTTATCCAGTTGCAAGCACAAATGGTTTATGATGTTGTGTGGCTTTTTTGGTGTCAAGTTGGTTACCCTACAACTCCCGGTTATGCACTCAAACATTAATCTAGGCATTTCTGGGGCAGTGCTTTGATGACTTCATAAAGCTCCTAATCAGTTGATTTAAAGGAAGGTTATCCTGGATGATCTAGATGAGTCTGACTGAATCAGTTGGAAAACCTGAGGTTTCTGAGAATGTAAGAGAGAAAGTTCACCTATCATGATTTTTGGTCTGTGCCCATTGGTTCCAGTCTCCTCCATGATCTTTCCTTCCTGACTAAATACCTTGCAAATTTAGTGTTTGCTTAGCCAGCATCGCAAGGGTCTAAGACAGCAGCTTCAAGTGAATGAACAAATGAATGAGAAGTGTGTGTGCGTGTGTGTGTGTGTGTGTGTGTGTGTGTAATTTGTAACTGGTTCTGGTCCTTTGATTGAATACTGACTGATATAAATGGTTAGCAACAAACCTTTTTATTTAGCTTTCTGGGTTTGGAAATGTACCATATTCAATTATGATGAACTCATATACTCATTTTCATTTACATTTCTAGGATAAACAATAATGTAGGCTTTTTGTATTTTGGCTATTTTCCATATTAAAGATATAGTTCTATTACATAATAGGTAAATGTGAGAGTTCTAAAATATTCATAATCCTTCAGACTTACCTCCCTTTGTTATACTTAATTTATTCTGAAATAATTATAGATTTGATGGTACTTGTAAAAAATATTAGAGAGGTCCCATGTGCCCATTACTCAGTTTCTCCAAGTGGTATTTATTTTTTTAAATAAACATTCCCATTTTTTAATACTTTTATTTATTTATTTTTATGTGGTGCTAGGAATAGAACCCAGTGCCTCACCCATGCAAGGCAAGCGCTCTACCACTGACCTACAACAGTCCCTGGTGGTAGTATTAGCATTACATTAGTATTAGTAATTAGTAATATTAGTATTATTAGTATTATTATTAGTAATTAGTAATATTAGTATTAGTGGTACTATTAGTCTTATATGTATGAACTATCATACAATATCAAAATCTGACAAATTATTATTCCAGAGTTTATTCATATTTCACCAATTTTACATGCACTCATTTCTGAATCTGTGTACATAGTTCTATGCAATTTTATCATGTGTAAATTCACATGACCACCACAATCAACTGTTCCTTTACCATGAAGATTTCTCCTGCTATCCTTTATTGTTACACTCACCACTTTTTCCTATTCAATCCCTGGCAACCTCTAACATGTTCACCATCTCTAAAATTTTTCATTTCAAGAATATTACATAAATGGAAGCATGCTTTTTAAAAAATATTTTTTAGTTGTAGTTGACACAATACCTTTATTTATTGATTGATATGTGATGCTGAGGATCGAACCCAGGGCCTGACACGTGCCAGGCGAGTGCTCTACCGCTGAGCCACAACCCCACCCTCACGGAAGCATGCTTTTTCAAATCTGCTTTTTTGCACTCAGCAAAATTTTCTTGAGATTCACCTAAGTTTTTGCATGTTCTAATAGTTCATTCCTTTCAATTGCTGAATGGTATTCTTTGGTATGTATGTACCACAGTATCATCGTTAACCCACTGAAGGATATTTGGGGTGTTTCCAATTTTTGCCCATTAGGAATAAAACTACTAGGAACATTCAACTAGAGGTTTTTGTGTAAATATAAGTTTTAATTTATCTGTGACAAATGCCCAAGAATACAATTGCTGGACCAGATGACAAGTGTACATTTAGTGTTAGATGGTTGGTTAACAAATATATGTTTACTGTTATAAGAAACTGCCAAACTTCTCCAGATTGGCTGTTCCATTTTGTATTCTCACCAGCAATGTATAAGAGATAAATTTTTTCACATCTTTGTCAGCATTTGGTGTTGTCACTATATTTTTCTTTTAGCCATTCTGATAGATGTGTGGTGATAGCTCATTTTAAATAGCTTTTCCTTAATGCCTATTGATATTGAACATCTTTGCATGTGCTTGTTTGCCATCTGTATATTCTCTTTGGTGAAATGTCTGCTCATTTGTGATCCTCTTGCCTCAGCTGCCCAAGTTGCTGGGATTACAGGCATGTGGCACTACACCTGGCTTGACTCTACAATTGTTTTAGAAGGAAACACCTGAGATGAAAATTTCTTGGGCATGACATCAAAAGTATAATACAAGCCAGATGCAGTGGCACACACCTGTAATCCTAGCGACTCAGGAGGCTGAGGCAGGAGGATTGCAAGTTCAAAGCCAGTCTCAGCAATTTAGTGAGAACTTGTCTCTCAATTAAAAAAAAATAAAAGGGACTGGGGATGTGGCACAGTGCTTAAGTGTCTCTGCTTCAATCCCTAGTACCAAAAAAGAAAAAAAGTACAATACAGGGCTGGGATGTAGTTCTGCAGTAAAATGCTTGCCTAGATTGCCCGGAGCCCTGGGTTCAATGTGCAGAGCCCTGGGTTCAATCCACAGCTCAAAAAAAAAAAAAAAGTGCAATACATAAATACAAACCTTGATAAATTGGATGTCCTCGAAATTCAAGATTTTAGGCCCCCAGAGTGGCACATGCCTGTAATAAAAAGGAAGACTAGTCTTTTGCCCATTTTTCTAATTGGATTTTTTCTTACTGTTAAGTTTTGAAAATTCTTTATATTCTCATTACAAGTCCCCTGTCAGATATGTGATCTGAAAATGTTTTTCCCAGTCTGGCAGCTGGTCTTTTCTTCTTTACCCTCCACCTCCCCCCTCCCTTTTTTTTGCAGTGCTTTGGATCTAACACAAGGCCTCGGCATGGTAGGCAAGCACTCTACCACAGAGCCACATTCCCAGCCTCTTTTCATTTTCTTTTTTTAAAAAATGTTTTTATTAGTGCACTATAGTTATACATAATAATGTGGTTCATTTTGACATAATCATACACACATGGAATATAGTTTGCCCTACTTTAGTCCCTAGTCCTTCCTCTTTCCCTTCTGTCCCCTCCTCCTTCCCCTGTTCTCCTTCCTATACTCTACTAGTCTCCCTTTTATTTATTTATAGTTTTTTTTTTAAAATCAGTGCTTTATAGACAGTCATAAAGTTGAAATTCACTGTGGCATATTCACATATGTACACAGCATAATTTGGTCAAATTCATTCCATCCTTACTCCCTTCCCCCTCAATCCCCTTCCTCTACTCCCCTAATATTCCTTCTATTTACCTGGGATTCCTCCGTCCCTTTTTTCCCCCTTATTTTGGTGTAGCTTCTGCATATGAAATTCACTGTGGCATATTGGCTTATTTCACTAATAAGAGATGTTGCAAACCAAAATTTTTAATTTTGCATGGGTGGAGTACTGGGGATTGAGGCGAGGTGTGCTTTACCACTGAGGTACATCCCCAGCTCTTTTTACCTTTTATGTTGTGACCGGGTCTCACTAAATCGCTTAGGGCCTCACTAAATTGTCTTCAAACTTCGATCTTCCTACTGAAGCCTCTGGAGTCGTTGGGATTACAGGCATGTGCCACTGTGGGGGGCCTAAAATCTTGAATTTCGAGGGCATCCAATTTATTAAGTTTTGTATTTATGTATTATATTGTATTTTTTTTTTTTTTTGAGCTGCGGGCTTTGCGCTTTGAACCCAGGGCTCCGCGCATTCTAGGCAAGCACTTTACTGCAGAACTACATCCCAGCCCTGTATTGTACTTTTTTTTTTTCTTTTTTGGTACTAGGGATTGAAGCAGAGACACTTAAGCACTGTACCACATCCCCAGTCCCTTTTATTTTTTTTTAATTGAGAGACAAGTTCTCACTAAGTTGCTGAGACTGGCTTTGAACTTGCAATCCTCCTGCCTCAGCCTCCTGAGTCGCTAGGATTACAGGTGTGTGCCACTGCATCTGGCTTGTATTATACTTTTGATGTCATGCCCAAGAAATTTTCATCTCAGGTGTTTCCTTCTAAAACAATTGTAGAGTCAAGCCAGGTGTAGTGCCACATGCCTGTAATCCCAGCAATTTGGGCAGCTGAGGCAGGAAGATCACAAGGTTGAGGCCAGCCTCAGCAATTTAGCCAGCCCTAGGCAACTTAGCTAGACCCTGTCTCAACATAAAAATTTTAAAAAGGGTGGAGTGGGGGCGGATAGCCAGGCACGGTGTCGCATCCCTAGAATCCCAGCAACTCTAGAGGCTGAAGCTGGAGGATTGAAGTCCGACGTCAACTTCAGTAATTTAGCAAGGCCCTAAGCAATTTAGTGAGACTCTGTCTCAAAATAAAAATTAAAAATAAAGGACTGGGGATGTAGCTTAGTGGCAAAGTGCCTTGAGTTCAATCCCCAGTAATATCTCCCTATCCCCCCACCCTCCACACAAAAGGATTGAGGATGCAGCTCCATGATAAAGTGCCTCTGGGTTAAATACCCACTACCTAAACATATAAATAAAATGATTGTAGTTTTATATTTTGCATTTAAGTCCATGATTCATTTTGAATTAGTTTTTGTATATGACATGAACCTGAGATA